GCTTGCCATAGTGTGTGTGTATATATATATATATAAAATAAATGTGTGTGTGTGTGTGTATATCTTACCTGTGCACTCACACTGAAGAAATCAGTTTTGTCCACAAGCATTTGGCTGTGTGAACTGGGCGTTGCTAAGTTTACTAAAGGAGCCTGTTTACGTGATGTTTAGAAGTTCAGGTTCCTTTAGAAACAATAACCAGTTTGCTTAAAAGAAGAGGCAGGTGTTATTCAGCATTTTTATAACTTTTCAAAACCATCAGTGTTTTAACTTTAACAGTCTTTGACTTTCAGTGTGTATTGTTTCAAACAAGGCCATTTGAGTCAGGTCTCCCCCTTGGCTGCATTGCATTACTTATTTTTCAATTTCAGTTCGGAAGACTCCATCAAATTTGATGAAGCTTTTCAAAATGAAGATGGTAACAGATTTTTAGAGAGAAGACAGCCCCTGTACTGGGACTTCGAAGTCATCTGTTAATCAAAGAAAGCTATAATTATGTTAGTTGTGCTGCAGTTTCTTCATTTTTCAATTTGTATGCCCAGCTTTGCCAAGAGTTGCCTGACTATATCCATTCTAAAATTCTTGACATGAGAATTGTGGTGATGGCTGCTGTTGTAATAGTTTCCCCCCCTCCCTATGGACATATTTGGTAATAAATATGAGATCTACCAGTAATGTCTTGCACAGATGATGTTATCAAACTTGCCAGCTTGAGGCATCAGCTGTGTGTATTGGACGAATGTGAGAGCAGAATCCTCTACTCTCCCCACCCCTGACTCCCCAACTGTGCTGAAACCAACTGGTCCAGGAATTGCATGCCAGACTTGTGGAGAGTCCCAGAGACCCCCACTTTGCTCCATGTCCAAGTAAGAAGAAAAAAAAAAAAAAAGAATTTGGCATCGAAATATACTCTCCTGTACTCATGATACAGAAGCAAAAAATTCTCCTTTTCTTGGCCAGATTCACTGGGGAATCAGGGTGGGGGTGGATTGCAAAGAGGTGGTGGGAAGGATAGAGTTTCAGAGTTTGCTTTTAAAGGTCCCCCCACGCGCACACACAGTCCTGATGGCCTGTTGTGCAGGTTGAAACATTCCAGTGTCGGCTTGATGCAAAAATGAAATGAAGGAAATGAAAAGAGAAAGGGATGGAGGGGTGGAAAGTCCCCTTCAGCTGGCTTTGGGCACCCCACTGTAAGTATGGGATGGATGTGGCTGACAGGACTCCCCAGAAATAGACTCGGTATTGTTCTCTCTGAGAGGTTTTGAGGTTTTGGATCAAAAAGGATATTCGGTGAAGTAAAAAGAGCAACTGTGAGACATCATTGAGCAAATGATTTCAAACTGATGCTGTGAGTCAGGACCCAGTTTTATAAAGATTTTATACATTTTCAACCAATGACAATGAAGATTATTATTACCTGATGGATTTCTGCAACATGAAGGATTGTCACTCTGGGTTAAACGAGACTAAGAACTACATCTACACTAGCAGCTCCAAGGTTGTACTTGCATATTGATGCTTAACACTTTAATTTACATGCCCACTATTTCCAAATAATTTCATGAAAGTTTTCTGTAAAGAACCATGTGGTTTGCTACTAATTATAGAAAAATATAGATTTTTTTTTATTAGTCCACTGAGTTGTGTTGTTTAACTTCCATATGAATCTTCATGAAAGAAGTTTAATTTAAACCTCAATTAATATTTGTTACTTATTTATTATTTGAACCGTTATTCGTCATTTATATTGAACTGCACGGTTGTTTGTAGACAGTTTTCACACTTTGCATGTGTAGTTCATCTTCTCTCCTCTGAATAAAAGCCTCAAGTTTGTTAGCATTTGGAAATAATTAGAAGTCTACCTATAGGTCACTCTGTGTTTTTTTTTTTTTTTTTTTTTTTTTTTTTTTTTTTTTTTTAACCTATAACTAGTCCCAAATTATATAGTTCTTTTCAGGAAACTTCTTAGGAAATTATTTATAAATAAATTGGAATTTACTGACCTTTAAAATTAAGTGTTATCGATTTAACTACCTTATTTACGATCTTAACTCGGCATGTTGGTATGCTAATATTTGCTACAGTAAGTAGCACTGGACACAAGGTACGTCTGAGGCGGATGGAAATATTAGTTTTAGTGTGACACTATAAAAAATTGAGTTAAAAAACTAACTTTGGCATAAAAAAATGCAAAAACTTTTGGACTCAACTTTTTAGGCAGATTAAATACAGGTCACTTCCAACGGCCTCCCGGCATTGATACACTCAATATTGATTAGTAAAAAAGGCGAGTATTATCAACCGAGTCTTCTGTTGTCCCATTGACATAAACAGGAGGCGGCCTCATTAAAAAGATTGTGCTTTGAGGGTGGGTCTGCAAAATTTCCACATATTTGGACTGTGGTACCATGGAAAGTCAAATGCAATTACTGACCTCCTCGCTTTCATCTGCTCTGTGAAGAGGGTTGGCACAGAGGGTTGGCACAGAGGTTCATTCACAGCAGGACCAGGTCTGGTGAAATTCTCATGCATTGGAGTCTTCATCCGTTACACTGAGGTTCGGTGAATTGGAAATCTCTTTGAAAAATTTGTCTTTCAGCATACTCGTTAGATTTTGAATACCCTTGGAGAAAGCTCTGATCTGTCTCACAGTTCCCTCAGAGTCCTCCATCTATTCTAGCTTGTCGAGATCATCCTCGTAGATTTGGAGCTCGAAGCCCTTCTGGAAGCTTCTTCCCTTTGGCATCTCCACATCCATTGGACACACATACTCCTCACTCTCATCCTGCCTTTTCTTCCTTAGACTACCAAAGTTGCCAAGTGACAGTTTCTTTGGCTTGACCTTGGTAGTGGCAGTAAGCAGAATGTAGTCTGGGTTTTCAAGGCACTCCTGTTTAAGCTGCTGGGCCTCTGAGCCTATGAGCAGGCTGAAATGTGTGGCGAGGTGACGACGCAGCAGAGTTTTATTGGGAGGAATGTTCAGCAGCAGGGCCATGGTCTCCACGTTGAACCGTGGCTCCAGAACCATCAGGCCTCCATGCACACCGTTACTGTTTGGGCACCAAACAATTAGCAGACAACACTCATGGATGGTGTGGTTGTAGGCGATCTGCGACTGTAACTCATCCATTTTGTTTGTGAGGAGCATAGATGGTAATGGAGGTTTGTGCAGTTTCTTCTTCAGTTGAGTTAGCAAGCCCCCTCTGCAGCCCCGCTTTTGTTTCCTCTCCCTGCGCCGTCTCCGTCACTTGCTTGGCCCGACAGCAATCCACGGTGCTCCTGGAGGTCTCACTAACTCCAATGGACTATTGTTGGTCTTTATATAAGCATAAGTCACCTCAGTATTGACCTGCATTCCTATGCCTATCAGATCTTCTCGACTGTAGGTTATTCCGTAGCAAGATAAGAGCAAAAAACAAGTCCAAAAAAGAATAAAAGCACAAAAGGGTGCTCAGTTGCGGGTAGCGACCAGCGTGCAAAGGGAGCATCAACACCATTGTTGACTCGCTGAAGGTCATGAGACCAACCCAGTCTGGGTCCTGCTGTGGCTCGCACTCTTCCCCCCCT